CCCCCCACCCACTGCACCCCATACCTAAGGCAGAGGTCTGGAGCCACCCTGCTCCTTCTGATCTGGAGCTCAGACCCGGGGACCTGCCAGGGTGGTGTAAGGAGAAAGGGAACCCCCAAGCTGGTGACTGAGACCAGGCATCTTCTTCCCCTAGTCCCTGGATTCCATGCCCTATTCACCTCTATATGTCCAGTGCCCAAATAGCGCCTGGTACATAGTAGGTGCTCACGAAAGTCTGAACGAATGACTACAATACCAAGTAGCAAGTAATCAGTGAAATTATCAATATCTCCATCACAACAACAGTTAAGTCCTGGACTCTGGGGCAGTCTGTCTGCCTGAGTTATAATTGAGATTCTTTCGTTTCACCTCTCTGTGCCTCGTTTCCCCTGCTATAAAAGTACGCAGTGACAGTACTGCCCATAGGATGGCTATGCTGAACATTAAATATGTTGACATCAGTAAAGCACTTAGAAAAGTGCTTGGCATTTAGTCTCCTGTATGAGTTAAATCAATTAATTAAATAAACTCCTGCTAGTGTTTTCTGTGTACTCAGCATACTTCATCTCATCCAAATCCAACTCTTCCAGGGAGGTCTGGCTACCCCAGTTTTATAGAAACTGAGGCTCAGAGAGGTCGCTCTGCGAGAAAGGGGCGGAGCAAGGATTGTTTCCAGCGGGGAGTGCCCAGCTCCATGCGCTCCGCTGAAGCCTGTGAGCTGAGAGCCTGCAGGAATGTTGCCCGGCCTCTGGCCAGCTCTGATTCCACGTAGCTGGCTGTGATGGTCCAGGCCTGGTGATTGACACCAATAGGAGTAACGGAGCCTCCACAAATCCCAGCAGCACCCACACTTCACAGGTTCCAGAGCCCTTTCTCCACATCACTGATTTCCCTCTTCACAGAGCAGAGTTTGTGCTCCCTGTTGATTGATGGGAAAGCCTGGGACCAGAGAGGTTGAGTGATCTGCCCAGAATCTCACAGCAAATCAGTGACAGAGGCCTGGGCTCCTGACTTCCGGTCTAGCCCATGGCTGTTCCACCCACTGCCCCTCCTCCCCACGCCTCCCTGAGAGCTCGGGAACAGACCGCGCCAAGGAGGCACAGCCCCCGCCATACAAATAGTTCTGCAGTGGAGTATGTCGGGGAGAGGGGAGCTTCCAGGGTGTCTTCCAGCAGCCCCCCACGTGCCAGGGCATCGGCTGTGTCCCCTGGGTCCTCTCCCCCTGCCCGTGTCCTGCTTCCAGCTCCAACTCCAGGACCCTCCTTGCAGCCCTGTTGGCTGAAGTGTTGCCCTGGTGGCTCCGCCTCTGCCCAGCGGTCAGTTGTGGCTGTATCCGAACGGCAGTGGCACTTGGCATGTATCCCCTTCCCGTTAGAAAACCCATGTCACCAGCTCTGCATCTCTAAAAAATCCTCCCAACTCGCTTCTCCCCCGCAGAAGACGGTTCAATTACCCCAGCTGCCATTATCTGTCCCAGCCAGCTTTGAGCCGTTCCCAGATAACCCCGCGTTCACCAGCCCCAGCTGAGCCCCCGGTACATGGCATGTGGAGGTAAAAGCCTGGAGGTGAAGAAAGAATTATAATAAATTAATAGATAAGCAATCACAATTAATGCCACTTCCCTGCAATAACAGTTATATCACGGGGAAGATATTTTCATCTGTCGTTCCTTAAGGCGATGTTTTCCGAGCTTCAGCTTCCACCCAGTCAGACCCATGGGGTGCTAATGAATTAGCCTATTATGTTATGCTGAATGTCTCTAAAAGGTCCCTCGTCGATACTGAATTCAGTGTGTCAACATTTGGCACGGAGAACAGCAACTTTTTGCCAAGCAGCAAGGTTGCGCACGGTTCGCTGTGTACAGCACTTGGGGTCTCAGCCTGGGGCAGTTTGGATCCAAACGTTGGAGCTGGACAGAGAGGCCTCTTTGCCAGTGTCCTGTTGTCCCTGCCCTCAGGTCACAGGGAAGGCACATTTGGTGCCCCGAGCCCCACAGCACTTTGCAGCTAAGCCCAGGCTTGAGGGGACAGGAGGAAGGTGACCCCAGCACTGCCGCCCCCTCATGCCCCACCCAGCCTCTGTGTAGGCGTCACCAGGACGAAGGCTGCAGCTGGAGACCAGAAAGGCTGTTGTCACCAGCACGCCAGCGGCCACCAGAGCCAGAGATGCACCCTTTCCACGGGGTCCAGCTGTCCTCTGGTCCTAGAGGAGGGAGGACCAGTCACAGAGGCCCTCGGCAGGCTAGTGCTCTGGCATCATTCAGGCCTTAGTGTCAGGTCCACACTGAATTGGACAAGAGGCTGAGCCTGTGCAGGGGCAGAGCGAGGGGGGCGCCCCCTGGGGGAAGAGCTCAGCTTTTTTTCTGTGGCCCCAGCAGTTCAGCTCTGGCCCCAGACTTGCAGACACCCCTTGCAAAACAAAATCCCTCCATCTTCCTGACCCACTTCCTTCAAAAGTGGTTCAGGTAAGATCTCTTGTTTCTGAAGCAAGCCCCTGGAGGGTCTCGTCCTCCACCCCAGTGACTTACCAAACCACGCCTAACGTCCAGCCCCAGAGGGGCTCCCCCGAGAGGAGGATGGGAAGCACCAGTCCCTCCACCTCGGGCTCTTCCCAGTGATGGTTCGGTCCCCGGAGAGCTACTCAGTGCTGGGCCTTCCTTCTACTTTGGTTGACGAGAGTATTTGGCTCAAGGGCTCATTGGGGAGACAGACACAGACATAGACAGTTGTTTTCAGTGGGGTGAGATCCAGAGGCCCCAGGAGAAGAGCAGAAGCACCCCTGACTCACCAGATCGTACATGTGTAGAGGAGCAGTCAGGGAGGCCAATAGGAAGCTACCAGTGTGATGCCCCCAAACACAGAGTCGGGGAGAAGTGCTAACAATCAGCTCTCACAGCCACAGCCAGGGTGAGCCAGCTCCATCACGCCATGGGGACAGACCTGGGTACACATTCTGTTCGCCTTTATGAGCTTTATGACCTTAGGCAGCTCCCCTCACTCCTCTGGCCTTGTTTCCTCTTCATAGAGAGGGAATACTATTGAGTGCCCACTTCACAGGTGACTGTGAAGATTCAATGACAGCCCTGCCAGCATGGCTCAGTGAAGCAGGAGGTCATGGTTCCATTCCCAGTCAGGGCACATGCCCAAGTTGCCAGCTTGATCCCCAGTGTGGGGCATGCAGGAGGCAGCCAATCGATGATTCTCATCATTGATGGTTCTATCTCTCTCTCCCTCTCCCTTCCTTTCTGAAATCAATAAAAATATATTTTCAAAAAATAATTTTTAAAAAGATTTGATTATATACTCCAGTGCAGGATTGAGCATAGTGAGCACCCTCCACTTCCACGGATATTAAGGCCATATGGACACCCTCTGGCCAGTTCAGTCGCCATCTCCCATCTGCTCAACACCCTGCATCCTGCTCCCACCCAGCCCCCATCCTGGCCTAGAATCAGGGCCATGTTTGTTTCGGCAAAGCTGGGACTACACTGTCTAAGCCTCTCCCCTACTCCCTAAACCTTCCAAGAGGAAATTAACACAATGCCTTTCAGAAAGAGGCCATTGGCGCCGGGGTGGGGGGAGGGGGGAGGACAGAATGAGTTTAGCATCGATTAGGAAGATCTCAGAGACCCGAGGCAGCCAGCACAGGGTGAGTGCTGCTCCGTGGCTCCAGGTTGTATCACTCATCATCTTCTCTGAGCCATCATCCCCTTAACCAGAGCTGGGGCCGTTTGGGGCTGGGTGCTCCCCCCCGATGTCTGTACCACAGAGAGGCTTGGCCAGGGTCCCAACCACCCTCCCAGCATGGGATGGAGCGACTAAGCCCGAGGACCCACGAGCAAGGACGGCGAGGGGAGAGTGTGGGGAAGGATAGACAGTAGATGAGGAGGAGCTCAGACAATGACCTTTAGACTCCGTGACCTTTGCCCACCAGTGGGATGGGACCAACCTTGAGTGTCAAAGTCTATTTTTTCAAACAGTTAAAAACACAGACTATGGAATGAAACATGTGGCAAAGATGGAACCCACTCGTTAACAAGGGCAGCAGGAGGATGGCAATGTTGGCTCAAAGAGCGTGTGAGGGGCTGAGTGCTTAGGTACTTGATGAGAAAACACATAGAATAAGGCTGCTAGGTTAGATACAAAACGGATTAACGTCCTGCAGGGCCATAAAACCACAACCGTGGCGATGATCCTTTTTGTGAACAAAAATCTACAAGTGAACCCAGAGTCTGGGCCTTGAACCAGTAGCTGAGAGTGAAGGCAACCCCAGGTGTGTTCCCCAGGAGAATCGCACAGTCCCAGGTGGGCAGTAAACCATGTTTCCGTGCTGCTCTCCTGCCTTATTTCCAAGTTTGGGGTAAGTTTCTGCTCTGAGGACAGAGTACTGCTCTACTCCTCATGCTACCACCCCCCAAACACCACCTCTTTTCAGCTAACACCCAACTTCTCCTTCTGTGTCTGCACCCCCTTCCCAGAGCTGCGGTGGGAGAGGGGGGCCTGGAGCTGGGCTGCCCCATGCATTCAGGCCTGTTTTCCTGGCCCTTAGGCGAGGGCCTGCCCACGCACCTGGACATGACCTGGCCCCCAGACAGACAGGCGTGAGGATGGAGCCTGTGGTGTGGGGGGCCAGGGGAGAGAAGAGGGCAAGGGCAGCTGTACTCTGAGTCCCTGGCAGGACACTTTTAAAGTACTCTCCTTTGCCTGCCGGTTTGGCTCACTGGATAGAGCATCAGCCTGGGGACTGAAGGGTCCCAGGTCGATTCCGGTCAAGGGCATGAACCTTGGTTGCGGGCACACCCCCAGTAGGGGATGTGCAGGAGGCAGCTGATCGATGCTTCTCACTAATCGATGTTTCTAACTCTCTATCCCTCTCCCTTCCTCTCTGTAAAAAATCAATAAAATATATTAAAAATAAATAAAATAAAATAAAATAAAATACTCTCCTTTGGGGAATAAAATCCTTCCTCCAGCCTCACTCAGGGTAACGTGGGGATGCCCAGACCCAGCAGCACGAAGTGGGCCTCCCCGTCGGAGGCAATGACCATCCTGACTGTCCTCAGCTACTGTTGGAGGCCGGGCATTGGGCCTGAATGGCTGCACAATGTGCTATAAAGGAGGCAGATGAAGAAATGGTCAGAGCGGCTTGCTCGAGGCCCGGCAGTGAACACGTGGGGTCGGCCACCAGGCAGACGGGTTCCTGTTGACTCCAAGTGCAGTGCTCCCATGGGGCCCCCTCACCCCTGGCCTCCCCTCCCCAGGCCCTGCAGGGAGCTGCAGCGAGGGCTCTGGGGGGCAGCAGGGAGCGTGGGCAGTGGGCTGGAGCTTACGGCAAACACACCTTTATTTCCACAAACCTCTCTCTGTCAGGATCTTTATGCGCTAGACCTGGAGCCCTACCGCTACTCGGGGGTGAATCTGACAGGGTTCCGGATCCTCAATGTGGACAACCCCCATGTCTCGGCCATCGTGGAGAAGTGGTCCATGGAGCGGCTACAGGCAGCCCCCCGGGCCGAGTCCGGGCTGCTGGACGGAGTGATGATGGTACGGCAGCAGGGGGCCCAGACCCAGGGATCCCCTTTCCCTTCGCCTTTCTCCCTCCCTCCCTTCCTTCCTCCCTCCCATCCCTCTTTCCACCTCCTCCCTCCCTGTTTCTTACTTCCCTCCTACCAATCCCCTTCTTAGGTCAGCAGGACCTGAGACTAGGGGCCAGGACACAAGGGAGCCAGACATAGTCCATCCCAAGGTTGGGAGTGCAGACATGTCAACAGCTGATGACAGAGCTGGAATAAGCTCAGTGGGTCCTAGGTGTGACCAGCAGAGGCTGGGGAGGCGGGAAGGAGATGGTGCGGGAGCCAAGACAGCAGCAGGGCATGGGGATGGGGCAGAGAGACTGCTCAAAGGTCAGAGCTGCAAGGGTGTCAGGTGTCTGCAGAGCAACAGGGTCACCCAAGCCTGGCCTCTCACCAGGCCCCCTGTGTGCCTGGCGGGGGGGGCGGGGCCGGAGATAAGGCAAGGGGAGCGGAGAACTCAGAAGCTGTTCTCAGGCAGGCCCTGCACCCTCCCTCCAGACCGACGCCGCCTTGCTGTATGATGCCGTGCACATCGTGTCCGTGTGCTACCAGCGGGCACCCCAGATGACCGTGAATTCCCTGCAGTGCCACCGGCACAAGGCATGGCGCTTCGGCGGCCGCTTCATGAATTTCATCAAGGAGGTAAGTGCCCCCCACACCCCACACCAAGGCCATCTCCCCGGAGGTTGTTGGTGCTGCAGAGCGGTCAAGGGCCCAGGTTTGGGAGTCAGGTTCAATGTTCAATCCACCTGAACTTGGGCAAGTTGCCTTACATCTCAGAGCCTCAGTTTCCTTGAGTGAAAATAGCCATGACAGGACCAATCTTACAGGGTGATGGAGAGGCTGTCCTTGGCACGTAGTAGGTGCTCAGCGGGTGGTCAGCATTGTCAGCAGGACACAGCATGGGCTTCAAGTACTACAGGTGAGGGTCGTTACCTCTGGCTGTGTGATCTTGGGCAAACTCAGGAACCATGCTGGGCCTTGGTTGTCTGTACAACAAGGTACAGAGATGAAAGGTGGCCACGTGGAAGGTGCTCGGTGCAGTGCAAAGGCAGAGGAGGCTCGGTGAATAGCTGTCAGCCCCACAAACTCCTCTGTACGTCACGGGCCCACCAGCCAACTTCCCAGCCAGGGTCCCCATCGGGACCAGCTCTCCTGGCACCGCGGCGACTGTGGAGAAGGCCCATCCATGGAGCTGACTCCAAGGAACCAGAGAGCAGAAGCCTGTCCTGCTGCTGAGAAGGCGGCCGTGGAAGCACACGGGGCTGCTTTAATCTCCAAGGACTCTCTCCAGCACCGCTGCCCTGTAAACGGTGGAGGGCTGTTTATTGTTCCCATTTTACAGATGGGGAAGCTGAGGTCTGGGCTTGCACCCTGGCTCCATCCCAACTGGTTAAGTGACTTTGGCTGAGATGACCAACTCTTGGATCCTCAGTTTCCTTGGCTGTGCCCTGAAGATAGTAAGAAAGTGTGCTACGAAGCGTTGTTGGGAAGACAATGGAAAACTGCGCACAGAGCCCCCAGGCGGGGCACAGTCAGGTCCCAGTATACGGTAGATGAAGAAGGTTTCTGGGGGACGAGGTCTGGGCAGGGAGCTCCTGGGTCAGAGAGAGTGACCGTGTCCAGGGCAATAGCATGTGCACTTAGGGCTGTGGCTCTGTATAGACCATCCCTTTGTAGCAACCACAATGGACCAGAAATGAAGCCAGCTGGCTTGGGAGTTCACTTATTCAACAGATATTGTGTGGCCTGCGGGGTGCCAGGCAGGGAGCTAACGCAGATGAGCCCAGCACTCTCAGAGCTCGCACCCAGGCAGACGTTCAGCACATCATCGCGTTCATGCCTGTATCCCTACCCCAGGAGGAAGGCAGCGCTGTGAGGGTGAAGAGCGAAGGAAGCCACCACCCTCCTCAGCGGGCAGGGCTGCTTTCCCGGAGGCCCCTCCCTCCCTCCTGTGACTGCTTGGGATGAGGCCAGTGACAGCTCTTCCTGCATTTCAGAGTGACACTTACAGGAACGGGGATGAGACACAGGCTGGAGGGTTTGACGCGTGTGCCTGTGGAGTTTGTCTCTTCCCGGCTGTGTGGCTGTAGACAAGTTCCTAGATGACCCCAAGCGTCAGTCTTGTAACCTGGCAAACACCTTCTCAGAGTTGTTGCGAGGGAGCACGTGAGGCCTTGGCGTCCAGTGTCCGCTGTTTTGGTACAAGAGGACCACGGTGGGCCCTTCTCATCCATTCCCTCAAAATTGCAGAGGAAGTTTGATGGGCCACTGCAAGGCCTGGCTGGCCCAGGCAATCATCAGCTTGTTCTCAGGACTCTCTGAGGCCTGACTCCTACCCCCCAGACCTCCTTCCTCGGCAGGCCTCCAGCTAAGTAGCCACAGGGCCAGTGTGTGATCTGCTGACTCCTGTGCCTGTGGAGTTTGTCTCTTCCCGGCTGTGTGGCTTTAGACAAGTTCCTAGATGTCCCCAAGCGTCAGTCCTATCACCTGGCAAACACCTTCTCAGAGTCGTTGTGAGGGAACACGTGAGGCCTTGGCGCCAGTTCCCTCGCTCCTGGAAGGGAGTCCAGTGTCCGCTGTTTTGGTACAAGAGGACCACAGCGGGCCCTTCTCATTCATCCCCTCAAAATTGCAGAGGAAGTTTGATGGGCCACTGCCCTGAGCAAGGCCTGGCTGGCCCAGGCGATCATCGGCTTGTTCTCAAGACTCTCTGAGGCCTGACTCCTACCTCCTAGGCCTCCTTCCTCGGCAGGCCTCCAGCTAAGTAACCACAGGCCAGTGTGTGGATCTGCTGACTCGGGCCACCACCCTGGGACCCTTAGGAGCCAGACCAAAGTGGCTTTGAAGCTTAATCACTTTTGGGCTGTGTGACGTTAGAGAAGCTACTGAACCTCTCTGTGCCTCAGGTTCTCTTCTATACAATGGAGATAATACCCGAGTGGTTGTAGGATTAAGTGAGTTATGTGTGTGTGAAGCCAGGACACCGCCTGGCATAGAGCAGTGCTGAACAGATTGGCTGCAATGACTATTGTTTCTACCATCATGACTGTCAGTCCTATGGCTTCTTATCTCTTCGTGGGTTTTTAGCTAACGAGGATCTGCAAGCCTCATAGTTTCAGGGACCGCCCCCTACTCTGTCCACCCTCACTCCTTGGGATGCTTGAGGCTCAGTGGTAAAGCCCAGATGGGAGCAGAATGGCCACTGTCCACACATAGCAAGGGGAGCCGCTCCCCTTCTCCCTCCAGGGGCTGGTGTGCCCGGTCCCCGTTTCCTGGCCCCGGCCCAGTGAATGGCCCTACCACTCACATCCCTTTACAGAGCCCTTTCAGAAGCATCTCTATCTTATCTTAGGTGTGGAGACTGAGGTCCAGGGTAGCCATGGGGCTGGCCCATGGTCCCACAGCTGGTCACGACCAGGCAGGTGTCCTGCCGGAGCCCAGCACAGTCTATCCTCGGACCATTTCCAAGTTGCCCGCCTCCCCATCTGACTGCATGACAGTAAATCATTTTAAAGACTTGGCATTTCCGAGAGGAGCTGGAAAATGCCAGGCCGGAGTTCAGAGCGTGTGAAGCATCTTTCATTTAGCGAGTCCGGAGCCTCGGCTGGAAGGGGTGGGGGGGCTGCGAAATGTCACGGGGAGGAGCTGCCAGTGGCTCCCTGCCCAGGCCCTGCCCCTGCCCACCGCCCACAGACAGGCAGTGCACCTGCTGGCATTTAATCCCTCTGGAGCTGACAAGGGGGAAGGCTCCCCTCCACAGTGCAGGTTTGAAGGCTCCTGCTGTGATTTCCCCAGGGGCCAGAGAAAGCCTGAGGTGTGGGCGCCCACTGGGCCGAGAGGGAGGCGGAGGGACTGGGGAGCTGGCCTGAGCCTCCCCTCGAGGTCAGGCACGGTGGTCTTCTCCTTTTCTGACACATCTCTAACCTCCATCCCCAACTCCCTCCGGCTCCCTGGGCTCCATAAATCTCCCATTCGCCCTGGCAGTGATGACCCATGCTCTCCAGCTCTGCCCCTGCCCCTGCCCCTGCAGCGGGCATCTGCCCACCATTGCTCGGGGCCTGCACAGCTCAGTCCCTCTTTGAGCCTCAGTGCCCATGGCTTTAAAATGGGGGCAGTGGTGACACCCACCTGGCAGGATCGGGATGAGAACAGAACGAGCTCATGCAGAGATCAGTCCTCTGCGACAGGGTTTCTACTGAGGCCTCGGGCCTTAGCCCAGGGGACCCCCCACCCCGCAGCCAAGGGCCAGCCCTAATCCAATGGAGCTCCCACAAGGAAGCAACAAGGAGAAATCATGGTATATACCACTTAGTCAGGACTGCATACAGTAGCCCCCCCCTTATCTGCAGGGGATACGGTCCAAACCCCCCTCCCCAGAGGATGCCTGAAACCGCAGACAGGATCGAGCCTACATGTACTATGCTTTCCCTATGCATACTGTGATAAAGTTTAATTTGTAAATTAGGCAATGTCATGGTAGAAGATTCGTTCTTACTGTAGATCTTAGCAAACTCAGCATATAATTTTTTCCTTTCCTTATTAAGTTGAGAATGTTCGCCATGTCACTTAGAGGAAGCCCTTGCCGCTTCTCTTTGGCATATCGGAATTCCCAGCATCAACATCGCCACTCTTGCGCTTTGGGGCCATTAGTGAGTAAATAGGGTGCCTTGAACACGAGCACTGCGGAGGCTTGACAGTCGATCTGATAACGCAGACCGCTGCTAAGTGACTAACAGGCGGGGAGTGTTCACAGTGCGGATATGCTGAAGAAAGGGAGGGTTTCATCATGCTACTCAGAATGATGGGCAATTAAAAACATATGCATTGTGGCCCTAGCTGGTTTTGCTCAATGGATAGAGCATCAGCCTGTGGACCAAAGGGTCCCGGGTTCGATTCCGGCAAAAGGCACATGCCTTGGTTGCAGACTCCTCCCCGGCTTGTGCCCTGGTCGGGGCTCGTGCAGGTGGCAACCAATCGATGTGTTTCTCTTACATCGATGTTTCTCTGTGTCTTTCCCTCTCTCTTCCACTCTCCCTAAAAATCCATGGGAAAATATCCTTGGGCGAGGAGTAACAACAAAAATCAACAACAACAAAACTTACGAATTGTCTATTTCTGGAATTTTTCATCTAATATTTTGGGTCCGCGGGTAACTGAAACCGTGGAAAGCAAAACTGCAGATAAGTAAAGACCACTGTCTGTCAGGCCCTGTGCTAAGCACTTTATACACCTTTGAACGCCTGTGAAGTAGGTAATTTTCCCTTCCTGAAGCTCAGAGAGGGTAGAGTCCTAGCGCAAAGCCCACATTCTGACCTCTTGTTTGACAGCCTCTGGGAGCCCCAGGGCGCCGGCTAATGTACCCATTTGCCCGCTGGGCGCTCATCAGGATGACTTTCTAGCGCCTTCGAGCTGCTCCGGGGCCTATGGATGCCCAAGAGTTTTCCTTTCAGATCAACAGATACGTAGGCATCTGTGAACCCGTGAATTTGTGTGTCCAAGTGTGAGTGTAAGCAGGGGTTCAGCAGCCATTCAGCTGGGGAAAAGCTGGGCCTCTCTCAGAACCTGTAAGGGACCCTGGCCCCAGCGTGCAGTGATGAGCTCAGTGTAGCCAAGCAAGGACTCATAGTCAGACCTCCGCTCCTGTCCATGCTCTGGGCCCTTGGGGCGAGGCAGCCGCTGTGGGTTCCTCTCTCCCAGCTCACCTTTGTTCCCAAGGACTCCAGGGTGTGTGGGTTTGTTGTTCCCCAGACACAGAAAGCCACACATCCTAGCTTTTACCTGTGTGCCCGCTGCATCCTAACCCCAAGAAGGAGGGAGAGGAGGAAACCCCTCCGCCTGAGGCAGGGGGGGCCTGAGACCCTGCCTCCAGCTTGGCTCACCCTCTTCTCCACTCTGAGCTTGGGGCCTCTCTGGGGCTGCTTCCTCATCTGTAAAGCAGGTTCATCACCACCAGGCTTGCTGTGGAGGTTAGCGCCGCGCAGAGCTAACTCTCAGGGCCCACAGGCACACGTTCCCTGCAAAGGGCCAGATAGTAAATATTTAAGGCTTTTCAGGCCAGACAGTCTCTGTAGCAACTATCCAGCTCCGAAGGTGTAGCAAAAAAGCAGCCAACGACTATATATATAGGTGAACACATGTGCGAGGCTGTGAGCTAAGAAACTGTTTTCAAAAAGAGGTATCGGGCAGGTGGTTTGCCCACCTCTGATCTAGAAGATGGCGCTCTTCTCAGTTTGGGTCCTGAACCTGCTCTGAACCGCTGCCTCCTTCTGTGTGAATGATGCTCATGAAAAGCTACCATTTCATTCAGGGCTCAGGTTGTGCCGGGCACCGTTCCAAATATTTTACAGGACTCACACATTTCACCCTCATCGCACTTGGGTGAGATGGCTGCTATTGTTAGTTCCATTTTATAGATGAAGAAACTGAGGCCAAAGATTGCAATGAAATGCCCAGGGTCACACAGCCAGTTGTGCTTGACTCTAGTATTGTTAGTTCCATTTTATAGATGAAGAAACTGAGGCTGAGATTGCAATGAAATTCCAATCACACAGCCAGTTGTGCTTGACTCTAACATTCTGATGCCACAGGGCTGGGGCTGGGGTGGCAGGAGTGACCTTCTCCATCTCCCTGGCTCTCTGGAGGCCACTCCAGGCATCTGGTCTCCCAGCCGACTTGGCCCCTTGGCCTCTCTGCCTCTCAGCAGGTCTCGCCTGCCCTGCCCGCCTGCCTCCCTGCCCCTCGCCAGGGATCTGACTTGGGCTTCCCCTTCTCGTGGCTTCGAGGCGGGGGCTCATTTGAGCGCGCCTGAGATCGATGTTGTACACGGGAAGGTGCAAATGTAAAGCTGGCTAAAGAGCATAATAGAATTTATGGAAATCGCTGGCTCGCACCACAGCCCGAGCAATGATGGAGGTGATTATTAATTAATCATGGTCTTGGGGGAACAGTATCAGTGCAAGGAGTAATTAAAATGAAGCATTGTACAGTTGTACCGAATGATGATTTATGAGCCCGAGGAATTGCCGCTCTGCCCTCTCCTCTCCGGCAGGCTCAATGGGAAGGATTAACTGGACGGATTGTTTTCAACAAAACCAGTGGCTTACGGACCGATTTCGATCTGGACATCATTAGTCTGAAGGAGGACGGCCTGGAGAAGGTGCGTGGGGCGCCAGAGCGGGAGGGGCGAGGCCCATTGTAGCCGCCACTTAGGGGATCAGCAGGACCCGGTGTGGCCTGTGCCTTGGCCCTTCAGAGAACACGAAGCCTTGGTCACACGAGGGATGCGGAACCCAGTGGCCTGGCCACGGCAGATACCCAAACCATCGGAGCAAGGGAGCAAGGGCCTTCAGGGATGTTTAACGTAGAAAAGGGATAGAAGGCTCGTGGGGCAGACAGACTGACTCTAAGTCTCTGCAGGGCTGTGTGGGGCAGAGGGACAGACATATCCTTGGGTAAGGGAAACTTTCTAAGGACCACAGGTGCCTGCCTGGGGAGTAGTGAGCTCACTGTCACTAGAAGCATTTAAGCAAAATTTAAGCAAAGCAATTGCTTGTCTGGGACACTGGAGGTGACTCCTACTCTTGCAGAGGTGTTGAAGCATGTGGTTTCTGAACTGCCCTAGGTTTTTGAGGCCTGTATGGTTCCAGGGAGTTTGGACAAGAAAGGCAGGCCCGCCAGGGCCTGGGGATTCCCAGCTGATTGCCGTAGAAATGTCTGCAAAGGGGCCAGTTCTGATGCTGGGAATCTTCAGCACATTCTGACATCAGGCTGCTGGGCTGCGGAGTGGGATCTAACATTAGCCCCTGATTCTCAGTGTTCCCTGGACCTCGGGCCCGGAGCTCAGCCACACTCTCATCCCACTGCAGGCTGGTCCCTTGTATCCCCAGGGCACCCCTCCAACCCCGGCAGTGGGGTGTATAAAATGCAGGAGCAGAGGCCTGGAAGTCAGGGCCAGCTCTGGTGCCTGTGGGCCTGCAGGAGTCCCTGATTCCTCATCTCCCTGCCGGCCCTGGGTCAGGCCTCTTCCTCCGATTATTCTGACACTCCCACTGGCTTTCCTTCCACCTCCCTCCTGAGCCCTCCAGCCATTCGAGTGTACACACAGGTGACGCTTCCCAACACACAGCTCTGCCCTCTCTGAACCTGCCCATGCTCCCCAGTCCTGATCAGTAAGCTCCGCCCCTCTCCCAGCCTCTGAGGTTCTCGAAATGCCCCAGCCTTCCTCTCTAGGCCTGGTCTCCACTGTCCCCAACAGCACTCCCATGGTCCAGTCACACCCCCTCCCTCCTGCACCTCTGGCCTTCACCCCTGCCATCCACCGTCCTGGTGGCGGGAGTGGCCTCTGACTCCTGGGTTGTACCTTGTGGCCAAGGTTTACTCCATTCACTCCAGCGTTTCCCACACATTCACGGGGTCACTGTACCGGGGAGAGGTGGCCAGGGAAACGTCACCGGAACTCCCTGACTCTCTCATGCCGAATGTAGCATCTGTCCCTGAGGACGGGCTGTGGCCTCTGCTCCTCACATCTGCGAGGCCAGTTGATCATACACAGCATATGAGTTCCCATTCAGCAGTCTTCCCGCTTCTATTTAAACTCTGCCGTGCTGGGGAGCTCCCTTCCTCCTCGGGCAGCGCTATTGCAATATAGGATCCATCCAAGTAGCCATGTCATCTTTGCTCTCTCAGCCGTCCATCTCTGAGGATAGCCTGAAATTCTAAGGATGGCATGCATGCCCCACTTCTCGCTCCTGTGCCTGCGGCTGGCATCAGTAACTGGTCATCAGAACGCTCTTTCCCACTGAGCCCACCACAGCGTCCTTCTGCCCGCAACTGGCACAAGTTGGCCACAGCTGACACTGGAGAAACACTCTCTGCTGCACCTGGACTGAGGTGGACCCGCAGAGGCCTCCCGCAGAGGCTCCTGATCTCAGACTCCGGGCAGAGAGCCCCTGCAGGCTGCCTCCCCCTCCCCCCACCCGGGCCTCACTGTCTCACATCCCCGTGGCAGCTGGTGTCTAGCAGGGCATGCCGTTGGAGCTCAATAGATGCTTCCTAGGGCACAGATTCCTGCTGTTCATTTGGCCTCTAGACAGATGTTTGGTGAGCAGCCCCTGCACCCAGGCGTGCTGCTAGGGCCCCTCGTGCTGAGCTCAGGCCACTGGAGAGAAGAGCATCTTCCAGGCTGTCTCCTTGTCTCCTCTCCTCTTGCCCTGGGGGGGTCTGCAAAGACAGATCCTGCCTGGAGAGGGCACTGAGCCCCCAACACAGCCACTCTGCCTCCCATACCGTCACTTCTGTGTGCTAAGCTGGGTCATAGCTGATCCAGCCAGCTCCAGCCAGTGGCTTTGGGAGGATTAAGGCAGAATTACCCGAGCATAATTACGCATCTCGCTGCTATCTTCCTGGCACAGCTCTCTTAATGGGATGTTTGCACTCAGCTTCTCTGTTTAATTGATTAAGTTTCTGAGGACCCCCCAGCTGGGCCAAGGACAGGGTGGACGTGCTGAAATCGTCCTTGAGAGAGAAGAGCTGAGATTGGGGCAGGGCGGGGCAGAGTTGGATCCAAAAGGACCTTTAAGAGGCCCTGGGCTTTAGAATGATTTGTAAACTTGATCTTCCCTTGCCTCCCTCGGGCTCAGGCCTGATAGCAACAAGGGCACTGTGTGGACAGAGATTAAGCTGCTTTGCCCAGGGTATCTGCCAATTTTGGAAGTAAAACCACAAATCCCTGCAGCATCTAAGGCCCCCAGTGAGGGTCACCCACTCTGTTCTGCCATCCCCCAAACAGCTACCAAGACCAGTCTCCTGCCCAGCCTGCTGTCCTGTATGTGACCCATGTCATTGTCCCTTCACTCATTCCGTAGGTGCTATGAACATCCCCCTCCCTCGCTCCAGGTCCTGTCCTGGGCTCTGGAGCTGCGGCTGGGGCTGAGACCCAGTGAGTGAGCAGCTGGCTGCCTGGGTCTTCCCAGGGAGGTGGGAGGCCCACCAGGCTCCGAGTAACTGTCCCAGGGAAGGCCTGACCTTGACCCTGACTTCCTCATGGCATCTGCTCCACCCAGGATGGTTCCCTCTGAGTTCCCTCTGTGTCCACCTCTCCCTCTGCATCTCCCCTTCAGCTGTGATGGGTTTGCCACCAAGGGGATGTGGGAGAATTCAGGAGACTCACCCACTTAATCCTGGGATGAGGGAGGCAGTAGGCAGTCAGAAAGGTTAGTTTCAAACATGTTAGCCATGGCCTGTGGCCCTGAGCAGGGCTGTTAGCCATGGCCATGAAGAATGGGATCAGGATGATGGGCTTGTTGATGTGGGAATAGGATGGAGAGACTGAGGACTCAGCACCCTGTTCTCTGTCTGTCTGTCCATCCAGGTTGGGGTGTGGAGTCCTGCCGAGGGGCTCAATATCACAGAGGTCCCCAAAGGCCGAGGCCCTAACGTCACCGACTCTCTGACAAATCGGTCACTCGTTGTCACCACAGTGCTGGTAAGAGCCTGCAGCCCTGCAGGAGGGACTGTCTGGCCTGGGGGTGGGCTGGCCATCGGGGCTGGAGAGACCCCTCCATCGCCCACCCCTCCATCGACCAGGCACCTCCTATGAAGCTGCTGAGGGGCTGGGAGATGGGGGTGGGGAACTGGAAAGTGGACACATTCAGGGTTGCTCAAAACAGCCCTCTGTGGGTGGTTGGAACACAGCAGCCCTGCTCAGGGCCACAGGCCAGAGGCCTCCTCCCAGACCAAAGCACTCGGCCCTCAAGCCTGCCTGCAGCCCTGCTCAGGGCCACAGGCCAGAGGCCTCCTCCCAAAGCCAGAGCACTCGGCCCTCAAGCCAGCCTGCCTGAGACCTGGTGGCCAGGCCTGCAGAGGCCTGTGTGTTTACATCTCACCCACCCACTCCCTGAACCCTGAAGTCTGAGTAGAAGGAGTAGAAGAAAGGAAGTTGACCTGATGTCTGAACCAGGATTCGGGTCTACCTCTTCCACCTCAGTCCCCTGAGCAAAGGCCCTCCCGCTGGTCTCCCCTGCCCTATTGCTCTTGGCAACAATCACTCTACCTGCCGTCCTCCCTCCATTCCCAGACTGAATAGTGCCACCTTCTTCTGATCATTTCAACCCAAGGAGAGGCTTTGGGGGTCTGCTGGGGTCTCTGTACTCTGGAGCTCAGCCTCCAGCATGACCAGAGGCTCAGGACCCACCCTCTCAGGACACAGAACTGCTCTGGGGGCCCACGCCGGGCCATGGAGGGGGGGGGGGGCAGCCCGGGCACAGCCTGGTGGATTCTGACCAAAGAGCCTTTGAGGACAATTCTCACCCTGGTCAGCTTCTCTTTATAACAAAGCCAGATGTTTACAAGGGCCATGTGGTAAGATCATTCTCTATAAAACAAACCAATAAAAGCGCTCTGTTTAGAGTGCATAGATAAAGTAAGGCTGCACCCCATACTGGTCCTTCCACAGGGCTCGTGCAGGCTGGCCACACCCACCTCCCACCAGAGGCAGCTCAGCCCCACTGGATGGTGCTATGTCCTCCCTCTGGTGGGATTCGCCTGCAATGTGCTTGGTAGCTGGGTGGTGGGTACCACGGAGCGGGAAGGGATGTAAACCCCATCCTCCCAGGAGGCCCAGTGAGCAGCAGACACCAGGGGCACCATCGGCTTCTAGGGAGCAATTGCGGCCTGTGGGTCTCAGCCCCGGTCTCCAGGGTTATGACTGAGAGGATCCATGTTAAGGTGACAGGGACCTAACAGGGGTTCTGGCAGGCCACTGAGCCAGAACGAGAGGACTGGAAAGACACCTACTCCTGCCAATTTGGGGTGAGGCCCCCCTGGCATCTTCTTCTGACAACTGTATTTCCTGCCTGCCTGCCTTTACTGATCGACTTTTTGTTAACTAAAAAATATATAAAAATTAGACTTTACAACCAGTAAGTCCCAAGGTCTCATTAGGAACAGGGGAAATTTTGTTAAAAAGAAAAAATACACAGAACTCTAAAAGACTAAAAAGAGCAAAGAGATTAGAGTGAAGACTGATGAGCAATTAAAGGAATACTGATGTGGATAAAAATATAAAAAATAAAAGGAGATTGGAAAGAGAACAAAATTAAAAGGTTAAAAGGAAAATAGTAAAGAGAAAAATGAAAAGGAACGCTATCAAGAAAGATGAAAAGGGAAAATAAATAATTAACACTCCAGCTAGACATGGTAAGAAATGTAAATCCCGAATGTCAGGAAGCAAAAGGATAAAAGTGTGACAAAGCTAAAATATAAAAGGGTAAAAATGAAATAATACGAAGGTGGTAAAAGATTAAAAGCAGAGCTGCATGGAACGTGAGCTATCAATAAATAAGGCTCTTTTCACACGACAAGATTAAAAAAGGTGAAACTAGTATTGCTTTGAGAAATTAGGAGAGGTGATAAATGAGCTAAGATGACTCAGGCTCAAAACAATATTCTAGCGGGCGGAGGGGCGCTACAGATAATACACCAAAATGATGCAAAACCCACCTTGAAAGACACGGGGTTCTCTTATTAAAATGGCAGCAGCCTGGTTTCAAGGGCAGAAGTCCCTTCAGCAAGGCCACGAGGGATTTTTCTACCCTAGCAGAGGCCAAATCCAGCAGATGTCCCCGTTCTTCCCGAAGTTTCTTGGTCAGTACTCAAAGCTTCTTGCAAAGCTGCAGACCTACTTGTACTCAGCGGCTCACCAGAGGCCCCTCCCGCCTGCAGCATCTGCTGGCTCCCAGGCTCCCAGGGACAGGGAAGAAGAGAAGCCCCTCTTGGCCCACAGCCTGGACACAGCTCCATCAGTCCCACTGCCACTCATCCAGGCCAACATGAGCCCCCCAGCCCTTTGGGACAAGCAGTGTGAGCAGGACAGGGCCAAGACTGTGTGATGATGGTTAAGAGCCCAGAACTGTGGGTTTGAGTCCTGGCTTGACTGTTCTCGAGCTCTGTGACCTGGAAAATCATTTAACCATCCTGTGCCTCAGTTTCTCAACTAGAAAAGAGAGGTGGTAATGATTGTACCTACTTCCTAGAGTTGAGAGGAATAATGATTATTAAGTACAAATGGCACAGAGTGCGCGCTAAGTGATAGCTGCTGTTGTTCTTAATTCATATTATTATTGAGTACAAATCCAGTCCCCAGGAGGTGCGGGCTTAATACAGTATTCCACAGGGCTTTATGATAGGCAGAATGACAGTTCTAGAGAAAACCTCTGCTTCTGTCCCTGAGCCTCGCTGCAGACTGACCCCTGACCACGGTCACAGAGGTTATCTCTAGCACAGGGTGCATTATAAACTTTGAACTTGCACTTGAATGCCTTCCAGGCCCGGTGGGCATTCCCTGGCTCTCCATAGACCCCACCACCCTCTATTGTTTACATGTGGATGCCTCTTATCTAGCTGTTTCCTGACTGGCCCCTGAAGGCCAGGCCCTCATAGCTTTAGTCTCATAGCTCTAGTCTCCTACCTTATAGGTAAAACTCCAGGTCCCAGCCACCACCTCATCCCCTGCCTTGGCCAACATCTGAGCTCCTGGCCCTGACACCACGATTATTCCCTAGCCCTGGCCCCATGGCCTTGACCTCTCACATAGCTGCTGACCCAGATGTCCTTCCTCAGAGTCTTCCAAGAGACTGAGATGCCCACTCCCACACAAGGACTAGTCCGAAGACCTAGAGCTGGCCCAGACCTTCCAGAGAGTGTACCAGAAAGTCTCAGTGTGGCTCGCATGTCCCCGAGCCCAGGGTGCCCCAGGCTTGAGCTCTTTGGGGCAGCTGTGCCAGTTGTGGGCGGAGGCCCAGCCCTAGCTGCTCTGGCTGAAAACCCAGCCCTGTGCTTTGGCAGCCTGAAAGCAGGGCCAGCATCACCCGCTGAGAGCACTGGGCCCCTGCCCTTCTGGAAGTGTGTTGCCAGGGCAACAATGCTTTGAGTGACAGGCAGGTAAAAGCAAGAGTACAGGAAGATCCGACTGTTTGCCCCTCACGAACAGGGCTGGCCCTGAGACCACTAGAATCTTGATGTGGCTGAAGGCAGCATCTCTGTGTGCTACCTTCTCCCTATCTGAGAGCCCAGGGTTAGTTGCTAGGGACACCTTAGCCTGGACACAGACGGGCAGAGCCCTGACCCCACCCTCTCTGGCCCCTCCTTGCTGCAGGCAGCCTTCCTCATTCCTGAGGCCAAAGCGGCTGCAGCTGGAGCCTGGAAGCCTGCCCTCCTGCCCGCTCCCTGCCCGGCCCCTGCCTCTGTCCTGGTTCAGCTCTTCCATGAATTCATGAAAAATTCATCCACCCAAACCTCACTCACACACTGCGAAAACACGCCCAACTCATTCCTGGGGCCCTGCTTTTGAAGGTTCGGTGTTCTTTTGGCTGCTGAAGTGAGCAGCCGTGTCAGTATGCACATCAGCACGTGTGTGGGTGTGGGACCGTATGCACGGGTGTCTGGATATGGGTATCTGGTTACGGGTGTATGTGTGCCGTGTGCACATCGTGACCCACATAGACTCAGCGCCTGGCAGGCGGACCGTGGTATCCAGCAGCTGGAGAGAGAGGAGAGAAGAAAGACCGGGATGTGGGCTGGGAGAACCATCCCAGGCCAGGGACCACTCCATTGCCCCCCCCCTGCCTCCCCACCCCCTGCAGCGAGGGCAGGACACCCAGTACTCTGTCCTGGTTTTAACAGGCAGAACCAAGGCCTTGGGTCCAGGGTCCTTGGCCTCTTTGTCCGAGCAGGGCTAGGCAGACAGAATATTCGAGAATGTGGTGTGTTTGTGCCGTGGCATGGTGTGCACATCTGTGCACATTCTGTGTGGATAGTGTATGTACATGTGTGTGGATAACGCCTAAGTCAGAAAGGAGAGTGGGAACATAGTTGTTAGGCAGTTGACCCCTGGATCCTCCCCCAAAGGCCCCTCTTCTAACTCCACAGGTCCTGTCTCCGGGAGAAGCTTAGCACAGGGCCCGGCTCTCACGTCGGTATAAGTGATCTGAGACAAACTAGACTAAGAGCCCTGGCAACGAAAAGTCAGAAAGGTTACTTTTCTGGACCTCTGTTTCCTGTGACTTGTTGAAGAGAAATATTACCCCTGCTCCTTTAGCCGTGCTCCCAAAGCAATAGGAGAGCGTGAAGTTATGAAATTGAGGGCACCTTCACCGAGCAATCGATTAGCAGCCCAGAGAGCTTGTGAATTGGCTGTCTGGACATTTGCAGTAATAAATTGTGAAATAGTCCATGAATAAGTAGTTGGCGGAGTTCAGAATTACCCCCTAGGAAATGTTGAGGTCTAGAGACACATTACCAAGGCGAGCACCATTTTAATGCTCTGGGCTTTGGCTGTTAAATATGTATGCCATCCGCAAAGCACTTCCCAAAATTAATGGCATTTTACAGCTGCTCCGAAGGCAGCGTATTTATATGGAGATGTATAGATTGGGGGCTGTGGTGGCTTCACAAATGAAGTGCTAATTTTAGAGGATAGGGCCGGGCGGGGTGGGCATGGAGAGAGGGTCAGGAAGTGAGCTACCTGGGGCCTTTCCCAAAATGGATTTCCGCTGCCAGCTATGATTTTTAACCTTTGGTGCCATTGGGCATGGTCTCTAGGCTAGAAAGGTCACTGTGGTAACAGGCCACCCAGTACACAGAAAGAAGAGAATAATTATATTAACAACTAGAGGCCAAATGCACGAAATTTGTGCAAGGGGCTTGACTCTCACAGCCTCGGAGACTTGTCTTGGCCCTCGCAGCCCTGGCTTCATCTGGAAGGTCGTCCAGAAGGATGTTCAGCTGCTTGGTTAATTAGCATATTATGCTTTTATTATTATAGATAATAATAATAATAATGGCAGCTTCCATTTGCCAGGCACTGTCCTAAGTGCTTTTCATAGTTTGACTCCTTTAATCCTCATTACAATCCTGTACAGTAGGTTCTACTGTTATCCCCATTTTACAGAAGGAGGTGCATATGCCTGGGAATCTAGTGTGGTTGGTGACCCCCTGGGAAAAATGGCACTTTCTCTCCAGTTATTTTCTGGGGCCAACAATAGGGCCACCAGGTACGTGGGCCAGTTTGTTCACTGCACAAGAGCATCTGACCAGAAGGATAAGTTGGGCCTGAAACCGACCCCACCCCCATGCCAGGGTTCCAGGCAGCACCTTCCCTGAGACTAATTAGCACAAAAGGTGACATGTGCACTAGCCAACGTCGCCTTTCCTCCAGGTAGCCCCAGCACCTTCTCCCATACCTGCACCTTCTCCACACCCCTGGAGTCTGTTCTCCAATCTTGTGATCTGCCCACTTGGTTGGAGGGTGGGGACAGGCAGCACTGAGGTTGAGCGTGGCGCCTCGCCAAAGGACCCAGCTTCCACCCGATTAGACTGAGAAGTAGTTTTCTCAGAATCCCTGGAGAGACAGGAACCTCTTGGGGACTCAGACACTCCCCAGCTCTTTCTCTGAAGTATCCCAAAGGACTGTTGAAATCTATAGCAAATCAGTCATGGGGTGGGGTGGGATTTTGAAAGGCAGTGTGGCCAGGGACCCAGGGCCAGAGGATCAAGCCCACCTGTAACAGTGGGAGCCTGGCAAGAGGTTGCTGGTGGGTTTCTGCACCCAAGGGCCTCCAATAAGGGTCTTTGCCTGAGCCTTTCATTGCTGACCCCACTCCAGAGGCCCACATGTCAGAGGCATGGTCACACCAGTTGAGAGAATGATGAGATACCTGCATATCACGTGTGTGCCCTTCTTATGGGCTTGTGTTCATAAGATTTTTCAATACACATGCATTCTTTCAGCTAGTGGACTAGTGAGGAATATCACCCATCAGCTGAAGGTTTGGGGCACTCCAACATTTGGGGGTGCCGAGATGGCTTTGGAGAAGGTTAAGGCCTAGAAAGAAGCTGGAAGATTGGAACGGAATTCCGTCAGACTGCAGTTCAACTCCTGGGCAACCTTGGGCAACTTATTGACCTTCTCTGGGCCTCAGTTTCCTTATCTATCAAATGGGGACACTGTCATCTACCTTGTAAGTTTGCGAGGCTTAAATCAAACAGCCTGTGAGAAAGAGTTGAAATTAGTGCTTGGTATATGTATAGCAGGAAGGCCGAGACATGTTGAGTTTGCTAAGCGTTCAGCTCATTCACCACAGACTCCGGATGGAGATGTGTAAGTGAAGCTGGGCGGGTGGGACCAGCAGAAACAAACTTGCATGGAAGACTGGCCTCTGGGACACTGTATGGTCCTGGATTCCGACACGTCGGATCCCACAGTTCCTCACTCTGTGTCTCTCAGACTGGACGAGGTCAACAGCTACTTCCCACTATTTTCCCTGCCTCTTCTCCCTGTTATTCTTGGCAGGGCTGCCAGGGGGTTGTCTCTAAATGAGAAACCAGAGCCATGCCCTGTTCAAAGCCCTTCGCTGACTCCCCATCACCAGGGAGGGAGGGACCCTGACATGGGACAGCTGTCACCTGTGCTCTGGCCCCATAGCTACCTTCGGAGGACCCCTGCCCTCCAGGGAGAGACCCCTTGGGACTCAGGGCCTCTGACACAATGACATGGCTAAGAGCTCAGGCTCTGCGGTTGCACCAACCTGAGTTCAGGTCCTCTCTCTAGAGGATGTCTGAGCTCACCTGTCACTCATCCTAGTGAATTCACCTTCTGCACCTATAAAATGGGATTGTGAGTACCGACCCCTAGAAGATTGAAATCAAGGTTAAATGAGGCAATATCAGCTACTGCCTTTTGAGCCTCCTGCTCTGCTGGGCCCCCTCCTAGGCCCTCCACCAACACTATCTCATTTGCTGATTTACGAGCGCCCCACACGTCAACAAACAAATGCAAGCTATCGCGGTTATCAGGAGTCACTCACCTGGCAGATCCGGACTCTGGGGACTGAGATCCTTGGAAAGAGAGCGGTATCAGGGAGCATGTAGATCTAATCTTTTAAATGGGAGCTGGGAGAGACAGCAGGGGAGATCCCTGATGACAGCAGTGTGCGCACTTGAGCCAGCATCAGAATCCCCGGAGGGCTTCTTACAACACAGGTCGCCGGCCCCGGCCCCACCCCGAGTGTCGTCAGTGGTCTGGGTGGGGCCTGAGAATGTGTAATTCTGAGAAGCTCCCAGGTGATGGTGATGCTGCTGGTCTGGGGACCACACTCAGAACCACTGGCCTGTGTTGAGGGTGCAGGAGACAGAGCGTGTGACTCACAACCAGACGGTTTGGAGTTCAAATACCTAGTCCACTGCTTACTAGCTCTGCAACCATTGGACAGTTCATCAGCAAATACCACCTGAGCCCCCTCGTCTTGCCAGGGATACTCGTAGGTGGCCATCCGGGAGGTGCAATGTCGGCTCTCAGGAAATGTGCTTTTCCTCCCTGACTTAGCAGGCCTCCATCTAAGCCACCCAGAGGAATTTTTTAAAACACAGGAGCAGAGGTTTCAGCCCAAGCTCTCCAGCCCCAGCAGCCGGCCTCCCCCAACCCACTCAGCCTTCCTCAGCTCCTCTCCTGTCTGCCCTGCAGGAGGAGCCCTTTGTCATGTTCCGGAAGTCCGACAGGACCCTGTTTGGGAATGACCGGTTTGAGGGCTACTGCATCGACCTGCTCAAGGAACTGGCCCACATCCTGGGCTTCTCTTACGAGATCCGGCTGGTGGAGGACGGCAAGTACGGGGCGCAGGACGACAAGGGCCAGTGGAACGGCATGATCAAGGAGCTCATTGACCATGTAAGTGGGGCTGAGGACCCCCTGGAAGGCTTGGCCAAGTCCCGTTGGCACATCAGGGTGGGGCATCTGGCAGACGAGGGCCCTGGGGGCAGGAGAGATGGAGTCACAGGCTGTGGGGAGGGAGGAGTGAGGAGCTCCCTCTGGCCTGCCTTGTTCCTGCTCCCAACTCCCAGATACTCCCCTCCATGTAAGCACACACACACCGGCCCATCCCACTCAGAGCCATGATGAGCTGCCTTCTGTTCCTTTAAGAGCTACCAAAGGATGCCCCAGCCATGTGGGTGAGCTGGCATGCAGAGCACCTCCCCAAACCCTGGGATGCCGAGACAGTCCTTCACTGTCCTGAGTGACTTTGGGTCCAGTGGGCAGACGGGTGGTCCAGGGAGCCAAGGACTGGGATGAAGGGATGAGCAAGGCTCAGCTGGGAGGTACCAAGGAGGCAGATTCATACTCAGTCTGAGATGGGAGAGGACCCAGGGGAACAAGGAGCAGCAGCAACAGACGGAACTTTTGAGAGAGGAGTGAGCAGGCGGTGGGAGGGCACTGGGTTTGTGGGACACTGGGGGGAAGATGAAGAAAATCCAGTCTAGGGACACCACAATAAGGTGAGTCAGGAGGCCCTGGGTTCAAATCCCGTTTCCTCATTCGTTGGCTATGTAAACAGGAATGTCACTGGACTTCTCCAATGGCTTCCTTCTCTGTCAATGGGTGTAACCCTCCCTCCTCATAGAATTGTTGATACAGGGCATGAAGTACTAGGTGCAGGGCCTGCCCACAGCCAGCCCTCAGCACACACATCACCATGGTTAGGAGCCCAGGCTGTGGACCGCTGGGCCAAGGTTCAAGTCCTGGCTTTACCAGTTGATAGGTGAGCAACCAGGTAAATTCATCAACATCACTGAGCCTCAATTTCTCCACTTCTAAAAGGGAGTAATCAGCAACTACCGTAGCTCCTATAGTTGTTGCGGCAATAAATGAGGCACCACTTACACAGGCTCACCTGGCACATACATTACCTGCCTCCCAGCTCAGGGCCCTCCACTCTCCAGAAGCGTTCTCGATCAAAGGTCTGCTAAGGAAGGCAAGAACCTGATCTGTACTAAACCCCTCGTGTTCCTTCTCTCCTTTATCCTGACATGGCAGTGAGGTAAGGACTGTTGCCACCACCCCTGGTACAGACCAGGAAGCTGAGGCAGAGGGAGGTGAAGGCCCCACAGTTACCCGTCTTTAGAGGCCCTCCACTTCCAAAGCCCTGTGCTCTGACCTCTGCAGAGAGCCAGGGCAGAGGGAGGCTCGTGCAGTTGGTCTTTGCAACGTGAAAAGTACCAGACAAAGGGGTTATTCTCACTTTGCCTCTCAGGGCGGGGCAGGCAGCAGCAGGGCCTCATTAGTCTTCCTGCCCCTGTTTGAGGGGCTGCCACATGGGGACCTTGGAGGTTGGAGCAGGGCGGGGGGCGGGGGGATGGCTGGAGCTCAGAGCAAGAAGGCTCCGGCAAAGTGTGACCGTTTCCTGGGCCCCAGGAAGTAACCCCCAGGGAAGGCTGATGGGAGAGGCTAATGGTAGAGAACATGAACTCCACTGGGCTTGATTCCCACCCTGCCACTTATTAGGTGTGTGTTCCTGGACAAGTTCCTTAACCTCTCTGTGCCTCAGTTTCCTCCTCTGTAAAATGGGAGTGATAATAATAGAACCTCCCGCCAGAAGGCTGCTGTGAGGACTAAGTCACACATAGTTGGCACTGTGTCAGTACTTGCTCTTATTATTATTATTTTTTTTACTGAGGCTGGGGAGGGGGCTTCAGGAAGTCCCATGATCTCCCTGAGCTCATGACCTAACTCACTGAGAGTAACCATACCTGCCCTGCGTTCTTCCCAGCTGGTTGTGCTGCTCCTCAGAGACAACTGCCAGGGAAGCAGCTCCCAGGTTGTGGAATTCAATCTAAACGGAAGGGTGTGGTGTTGTCACCGTTATTAGTAATAACTGTAATTATTATGGAAATTAGTCAGCAGGGCCCGGAGGCATCTCCATTATGGAGCCCCGTACACTTGTGAGCAGGGCTGTGGAGTGGGGGGCTTCCAGTGGTTCCAAGCCTGCTGTTTGCAGAGGGGAGCTGGGCAGGGGAGGAAGAGAGATCATGTGGAGGGGAAGCCACGTGTGGAAGCGAGCAGGGCAGAGGCCAGTCTTGTCACCACAATCTCCAGCAGTCAGAGAGCTCTGAAGAGCTGTTTGCAAGGGGTTGGGTCAGAAAATCCCGCAGCAGCCAGACCTTCCCAAGTTGACCCTTGGCTGGAGAAAGAAGGAGGCCTCATCCATGGCCCCCGGGCAGCCCCGTCTCCATAGAGGCCATAGGCTCTGATGGGACATGCAGGTGACCTTGTTAAACCAGAGTCCCTACAACTGATGAGTCCATTAATCCTAGCTTGGTGCCAATTTTAATATCACCATAACCATTTATTAGTGTCGTCAGATAATTAGTCTTCTCACTAGCTCATAGAAAACGTGGTAAAGGCTCGGCAATATTATTACTTTCTTATTAGGGATCTGATCGTAGACGTAAAAATGATGAATGCTAACTTTGCAAGGATCTGTCCCAGAGGCCCATTCGGAGGCCCTGGGTGGAGCCTCTGACCAGCAGGACTTAAGACGTCCTTCCCTGACACCCTGCTCACCTCTGTCCCATGCCACATGGCCTCCCAGGAGCCAGGGTTGTGGAGGAAGATGGGGCACCAGGAGAGTGCCCCCCCAACACACTCACCTTCCCCCAAGTCACCTCCAACTATGGGAGCAACAAATGCGATCACCCCATCCATCTCTCTCTCTCTCTCTCTCTCTCTCTCCCTCTCTCTCATCATCATCACTGGTGTCAGGCCACGACCCCATCACCCATTATTATGTCTTCTACCTTCAAACCAGGAACCGGATCCAAGTCCTGGCCTGCATGCATTGGTGTCGGAAGGGTTCTCAAACCCCTGTTTGTGTGGCCAGGAAAGGCTCTGCCAAGACACCTCCTTCAGGTTGGGGCAATGCACTTTGAAGCAAGGCATGCTGGGAGCTCACCTGGGGCAGGTCAGAATCCTGAACGGGACAGGGCATTTGAGGGTAGGGAATATGGATGGACTGCAAAGGTGGACTCTTATTGGCAGCCAGATTGATCAGAGCTCTGGAGAAGCTCAGGATCTGCCTGAGGATGACCAGTAAGCAGGTGAGGAATTCAGGAAGGACTTGGCCGCATTGAGGTTCACCACAGAACTGTCACTGCTAGGAACTCAGCAAGCAGAGACCAGCCTGGGAAAGGCCTGAAAAGAGCCTGGCATGGGTGAAGGTTCAGACAACCAAGTTCAAGAAAAGACAAGGTGCAAGGTAGCAATAGAGCTTCAGGGGTGAAGGAGGTATTGGAGGGAAACTGAGGTCAGAGGGAGCACCTGGACCACGCTTACACTCCTGAGGCTCATCTGTCCCTTCATTCATTCCACAAAACTTCCAGGAGCAAAGTCTCAGCCCGGGCTCCTGGAGAGCAGAGCTTGAGGCATAGGTTCAGATGCCACTGCTTAGTAACAGGGTGTGATGCGGGCAGAGAGTGACGGGCAGGAAAGTGGAGCAGGAGGGAGGGGAAGCCAATACGAGGACACATTACTGAGCCATTGCCACTGAGTACAACTAATGGCTAGATCCACAAGTCTGCACCCCAGAAAAGCCTTGCAAAATGTGTCTCAGGACCATCTCTTGGAGTGAGGGGAACAGGCTTATTAACCGACTCCTGACTCCCATGCATTTCTGGGCTTGGCATGGAGGCATGGGAGCCAATCGGGACCCTACAGCAGTGTCCCTGGGAAGTCATGGGGGCAAGAAGGGCCCAGGTGGCAGGAGGTGAGATTCTGTCAGCTTGTACCTGTGTGAGGTTAGTCACAGCTGGAAGATCTGTTCCAAGCACCCATGCCATGCCAGACCTGGACGGTGACTAGAGATGCGGGAGTAACTGAATCAATGGAACATGCTGACCTCCTGCCAGGACTCAGGAATCAGCCATTCTCCAAGGCCTGGGAAAGACACAGGCTTCATTTCTCACCATCAGGCATCCAGGAGGTCTGTGTGTGAAGCACAGGCAATGACCCCTCGGTCAACATTTAGGAATTTTCTAGCACCTGTACCATCTCTTTAGATATATATGGGCTGTTCCAAAGTTGTCAGTGGCTACAGTGCTGATTGGTAAGTGTGGTGACTGGCTGGTGGGTCATCAGCAGACACCACCTGTGATTCAGTGTCCCCACCCCCGAAAACTGCCATGTGGCAGACCATGCAGTAAGTTCCTAAACCTCAGGTGTTCCCATTGATCAAGTTATTCATTTATTCAATAAATTTATTAAGTTAGGTCTCATGCCAGGTGCTGTGAATACACAGCAGGATCCCCCTCCTGAGCCTCCGGCTCTGACACTCTAGTGGAGGAAACAGATAATAATCCATGAGCATGTGGAGAGATGCAACTATTAAGCCAGAGAAAGTGTTCTGAGAGAGGAACATGGTCAAGAGAGAGAGACACGGGCAGTAGGGGTCAACATATCACCCTTAGGATCAATGAATGTGTTGAAAAGTCAGAGGTTTGAAGGTTATTCAAGGATGTGATGACTATAAATATGAAAGCAAAGACCTTGGACCTTCTTTGAGCCTTAGTTTCCCCTCCATAAAAAATTTGAGGTTGGAGTTGATATTCTCGAAGTTCTCCTGTCCAGCTCTGACATCCTATGGTTTTTATGAATCATCCTCAAAGAAAACTTGCATGAGTGGGAGGAACCTGCCAAGATTGGGCCTTTCATTCTGCGTAATGAACTGAAACGGCAAAGGCTTGACATCTGCTCTGCTCTTTCAGGAGAACTTGAACAAAATAATGCCTTTTTCAGGGGAAAAGCACGGCTTGACATCTGCTCTGCTCTTTCAGGAGAACTTGAAACAAAATGCCTTTTTCAGGGGAAAAGCACAAATGGTGAAATGTAGTGTTTCTCGCCTTAAACAAAATTGAAGTGGAGAACACCGGCCTTCTTGAAGCCCAAAGGAGAACACACATTAGAATTCCCCATGAAGAGGGTCACGTTGACCAGTTGTCTTGCTGCTGTAGGCAAAGAATACCAAAGATGTCCCCGCTCCTTAGCCCCATTATAGCAGACAGGAGAAAGGCTGGTGGGGACATTCTGATTGGTTCTTGAGGAAGAAAGAGGGCCTGTGGCCCTATGATTGGCTTCCTTGTCAATCCTGAAAAATTTCTAGTAGATGGAACAAGCCCTGGCTGCAAACACCTTGATGCCCTCAGTAACTAATGCTCTCATTCAACTTGCCGCCAAAAGCCAAAGGAAGATTTGCCTCCATTGACCTTGAAGTTCTTCCCAAGAATCCACTCCAAGCCCCAGAGGCCATTCCCAGAGACCAGTTCCAAATGCATTCTGAGCAATGATGATGACTTTGGGTTCATAACAGAGCCTCCCAAAAAGCATTGTGTTTTGAAGGGAAAAGTCTGGGGGAGGCCAACTTTGAGTATCAAAAGTCCACTTTAACCCTGTTATGCCAACATTATAGAGGATCCTAGAACTTCAAGATTGAAAGGGACTCTCTAGGGTGCCAGGCCCCATTCCCACTCTACTCAGAGTCCTACCCTCATCCCCCAAAAGGGTCTCCCTCTACCAGAAGCTCCATGAGAGCAGGGGCTGGGTCTCTTGCTCACCTCTGCATGCCAGGCTGGTGCACAGTAGGTCTTGAGCAAATACTTATCAGTCCCTCTGCACCATCCCAGATAGTTCTCTCTTTTGTTGTGTTCCTGAACTGAGAGGGCTCCAGGGAACTGGGGTGCCTGTTTCTTCTTATCTCTGCCTTAAGAGCTAAGCAAGTTCCAGCTCACACACTCAGAAATGTACAAAAGAATGTCCCGTGTAAAACAATCCTTTGTAATAGGCTCCTCCTCCCTAGCTTTCCCTGATTCTGAGGTTCATTGAATCTTTGTGCTCCAAGTGTCAATAGTTGGGTGTGGGGGTGCTGTTAGAAGGAGAAACACTGGGGTAAGCAACATCATGAAGGTTTCCCACCATCCCCAGTCTAGGACATTTGCAAAGCCATTTAGAAGCTGGGGTTCCACCCATATTAGTCCTCCCCTCTTTGCAGTCTGATTTCAACTTGGTTCCTGGTTTCTATTCTAGGATTAGTGAAGTCAGAGATAGTGCTAACAGCTGCCATTTAGTAAACAATTTGATTAGTGTCCACTTCCCTCGCTGCCTGTATTCCCCAATGCTTGGTGGATCTTATAAATAATGGATGGATGAATAGATAGATGGAGCTGGACCAAGCCAGTGGATAGCTGCCTGGGGGCATGGCCTTGGGACAGAGTCTCAGAGGTAGCCTCCTGTCAGCTTAGCAAAAGGGTCTGTAGTGCTGGTCTTTAGGACCCCAGCCTCCCTTTCTGTCCTGCCCCATCAGAGGAAGGAATGTGATAACTTGGTTCACATTCTAATGTGTAAATATCCACAGGAACCTAAGGAGTAACCCCGCAGAGGGAAACATTATTAATTAACAAATAGTACAGAGGCTAAGATGGGGATTAAAAATTGAGAAATGGAAAAAGTGTATCAGCTACAGTCCCAACTGTGCTTAGAAACTCACAGGTAAATAAGCAGATAAGACAAAAAGTCACATGGCCACACATCCTACTATTCAAACTGAGTAGGCTAGGATCTTACCACAGGACAGAGCAAAATTCGTGGGAGTTTAGAATTGGAGGCTATCAGGGAGGGCTTCTTGGAAGAGGGCACATGTACAAAGGAATATGAAAAGTGGTAAAAGGCCACAGGAGAGGGCATTCTCAACAAGGCACAGTGTGTGCAAAGCATAGATGTGGTCAATAGGAAGCAATTAAATGGGGACTCATTTAGAAATAGAGCAGTGGGGTAAGGCTGGACAGAAAGGAATAAAGGATTATAGACTTTTAATTAGGAAAAGCTCAGACCCAAAAAATAGAACTTTAATTATTTCCTTCAATAAAATTGTGATGGGCTAAGATTTATTAATATCTGAGCATTTCTAGCCTCCCCTACCCCCCTCCTTTCTTTCTCTGCTCTCATCCCTCCCCTCCCTAATTAAAGGGGGCTCTGGATTTGCCTGTTTATTTTGTTCCCTACCTTCTCCCTCCAAAGAAGGTCTTGTTTTTGCCTAACTGGTTTTGGGGACTTTTAGGATACATAGAATATCTAGAGTGTTGTGAAGCGGTCAAGAAGTGGATAGGAACCTTGGCCAGTGGTGCTCAGTGGTTGGAGCATCAGTCCACACACCAAAGGGTCGTGGGTTCAATTCCCCATCTAAGGCATGTACCTGCGTTGCAAGTTCAATCCCTGGCCCCAGTCAGGGCATGTGCCAGAGGGAACCAATCAATGTGTCTCTTTCACATCAATGTTTCCCTCTCTCTCCCGCTTCAACCCTCCCTCCCTCCCTTCCACTCTCCCTAAAAATCAGTGGATAAAATATCCTTGGGTGAGAATTAACCAAAAGAAAAAATGTGGATAGGGGAGGAAAACATTTAGATAAGGGTTGTTGTGGATTTCGTGTCCTCTTCATGATGTTTGAAAGTCACAAATAAAGAACATGAGTGATCTTTAAATGTTTTTAGGTTATGAACTGTATTTATTTGACAAAGCACCGTTTTTAGACTAGAGCACTTGGATATAGCTTTAATAGGGCTCCATTCTCTGCATGTTTATGCCGCTGTCCTTTTCTTCAAGGTCATGAGCTCTCAGAGAACAGGGTTAAGTTTATCATTGTCTCCCCAGCACCCTGAGAATGGCCTGGCCCAGCAGAAGGGTTCCCAAACATTGACACTAAAGAGTGGTTAAGTAATCCAGGAGTCAGGCAACTGACTCCACTCCAAGGAGTGTTCTGCCCACTGTCAGTCGGAGGCGTTGCTCATAGTCTGTCTGTCTCTCTCTCATTGCAGAAGGCGGACCTGGCCGTGGCCCCCCTGACCATCACCCATGTGCGCGAGAAGGCCATTGACTTCTCCAAGCCCTTCATGACGCTCGGTGTCAGCATCCTCTATCGCAAGCCCAACGGCACCAACCCCAGTGTCTTCTCCTTCCTCAACCCCCTGTCCCCTGACATCTGGATGTATGTGCTGCTCGCCTACCTGGGTGTCAGCTGTGTCCTCTTTGTCATCGCCAGGTAAGGGCAATGCCGTGGCCAGAGCTCTGGCCCGAGGTTGGAGGTTTAGGGAGCCAGGCACGTCTCCACTCATCCGCTGCTATGCATGCTCCTCTCTCCTTCTCTGAAGCTCAGATCCCTTTATGACCCTCGGGGAATATGCCATAGCCCCCAAGCTTGAATCCCCCGTCCTTACCCTGCTCTGTGTGTATGACTCTGAGAAGCAGCTCTTGCACCCCAGGCCCTATGAGCAGGCTTAGAGAGGCAAACTCACTGCTCAGAGCTGAATCATCTGGGCCAGGCACCCAGTCCTGCAGACCCAGGTGCATTGGGTGGCCCAGCAGGCGGCTTGACACTTGAAAAATAGGACTGTGTCCATTTAACCCACAACAGCAGGGGAAACAGTACCACACAGATGCACACACATGCACTCATGCAGAAACATGCATACCCACCTGTCTGTAAGACACACTAGCAACACCTTGCACATTTGGTTGTTCAAATGGAAGATGTTGGACATCCTTGTGGTCGATGGTAGAAGGAGATAACAAGGGACACGTTGAGCTCCGTGTTTACCGAGCATCTAGTGTTTGCCCAGCACCGTGCTCTGTCCGTTACAGCCATTATATTAGTTACTTCTCACAGCCTCCCAGAAAGAGGAGACATCTGAGACTCAGAAAGGCTCATACTCGCCAAGGTCATCCCAGCAATAAGTGAACTCGGGTCCCAAAGTGTTTTATCTGTGACCCACATCTCTGGCCACCTGGACATCCGTCCTCTGCCTGGGCCCCAGCTCCCCCTCCCCTTCACAGCTGGGCCCTCTGACCCCTCCCTCCAGACCCCAGCCCAGCCTCTGCCCTGCTTATTTTTTCTCTAAACCCTAACAAGGCACGAAGAGAGACTTCTCTGGAGAGGCAATTTGAGATCCAAGGACTTGGTGTTTCAGCCTTTATTTCTCCTGGGACTTCTTTGAAAACCTTTCCCCCACCCCACTCCCTTCGCTCCCTCCTCCCGCACCGAGAGAGACCAAAGGGAAAGATGGCGGGATGAGATTGTCCTGCCTCTAAGCCCTTTGCCGCCTGCCGGCCTGGGGCTGCCTGTCTGCTCAGCCCAGCCCGCAGCCCAGCCATTGTCTCTAATGGTCTAACAAGCCTTTGAAGGCCAGGAGCCACTCTGCAGCTCTCACCATCATTTTAGCGGCTCCCGGGGCCTCTCAGCCCGCCATGCCCTGGAAAACAGCTCACGTTTTCCAGCATCACTTCTGCCCTTGTGACATGCGGCCCCTCCCCTCTCCCCCTCCCGTTCCTGGCCTTTCATCAGCGGCTGGCTGCCAAGCCTGCTTCCCACCACATCCCTCCTGGCCAGGACAGTAGAACCCCCTTCCCAAAGTTAGGCTGGGGAGACTTTTGGGGAGAGACGGGAGAGACGGGATTTCCGGAACTGCTGGAATGATGACACGGGACACATGAGGTGAGAAGGGAGGAGCGAGGGTCTTGGCCACGGAGCCACGGACAGCACCGTGGTACAATTGTCACACTGTGTAGCACTCACATAGCACAAGTCACATAACGCAACCTGTCGAAATCGTCACAACAGTCCTGTGAGGTGGGTATAATTATCCCCACTTTACAGAAGTAGAAACTGAGGCTCAGAGAGGTGAAGCCATTGCCCAAAGTCACAAAGCTTTTTCTTGCAGAGTTCGGCTTCACATCATGACCTTTCCGAGTTTAAATCAGGGGTGGCCAATGGAGGTGCCGGAGGGAGCAGGAAGGAAGCGTGAGAAAGTGAAGCAGGCAGAGTGGAGGGAATCGGGAGCGATGGGGATGGAAGCAAACCAGAGGCACATGCCTGGCAAAGGGGCCGCTGCTACTCAGCTCCCACATCTGTGCTCGGCGGGGTGCTGTGCCGGCGCTGCCGGGTTCATGATTCTTAGAGAGATTCAGACTTTAATGTGACACCTCTTGGCTTTTATATGTAGCCACTCATTCGATTTTTTACAACACTGTCAGGGTCAAGCACCGCACATCTGTATGGGGCACGTGGCCCTCGGCCCCCTTCTCCGTGTGGCCTGCGTCCCTTGGGCCACTGCATGCTGGCTGCTGGAGAGCTGGACACAGCCGCCCAGAGCTGGGGCCTGTGAAGGTGGCCAGTTCCCAGATCCTCTCCACGGCATGTGGCTCAGCGCAGGGCTGTCTGCCTTGCAAATGGCCTGGCCTGGCTCATGCCTGCCTAGCACCAGGGCGTGAGCATTGATTAAGGCCTTTTCCTGCCACCAGGATATTCTGCTTCCGGCCACACCAGCCATTCCAGCCCTTTTCGGACTTCCCCCGGGTCTCTCTGTCTCTCAGATGCTCTAGCTTCCCCCACCCTTCATTTCCTCCGCGGGAACTTGGGCCACACACAAAGACGATGCCCCACCTGCCAGGACTTCTCCTTAGAAGGCAGTGGGGGGCTTAAAGTCACCATGTCTCCTTGTCATACATGCATTTGTATCTTCAGAGAAAAAAATCTGAAAAATTTGATAGCGCATTAT